GGGTGCATGATGCTATGGGCAGTGGCCGAAGGCGGTGACCTTGGCGCTCTGACCCTGGCTTATCAAAGCTAGCTCTTGGGACATGGAATGTAACCTCTCTGGCAGGGAAGGAGCCTGAGCTTGTGCGCGAGGTTGAGCGGTATCGACTAGATATAGTTGGGCTCACCTTGACGCACAGCATGGGCTCTGGAACTGATCTCCTTGAGAGGGGTTGGACCTTATTCCACTCTGGAGTTGCCCCTGGTGAGAGGTGTTGAGCTGGTGTGGGTCTACTTGTAGCCCCCCGACTTGGTGCCTGTATGTTGGAGTTTTCCCCAGTAGATGAGAGGGTGGCTTCTTACATTTGCAAACGCTCGCGTTTTATCTGGACAAAGGACGTCGCACACTTTCATCATACAATTCTTTACGAATTCCCCCTTCGGTAAACGGCCGTCCTGATTTGGCGATCTCTTCGGCCACAATGAAACTTGCTTTCACAGCAGCTTCACTTTGTGATTTTGCTTTGGTGAAAAACGTCTGCTGGGATGTCAAATTCTTCTTCAACTCCTCTACCTTTTGTAGCTTCTGTCCTGTGCTCAGGTTTTTGAATTTGTTCTCATGTTTCGTCTCGTAGTGCCGTCTTAGGTTATACTCCTTCATTACAGCAATATTACTCCTGCAAAGGAGACACACTGGTTTACCTGCAATTTCAGTAAACATATACTCATTCTCCCACCGGCTTTGAAAGCCTCGGTTTTCAGAATCAATTTTTCTCTTGGCCATTGTTGAGGTCTAGCTTTGATTTGATATTAGCTCGTATACATCAGCAGACCGCGAATTTGAACCGCGGCTTGCCGTTGGCGGCAATTGCACTGCATCATGGGATTTGTAGTGTGTGTTATTGGGGCGTCATGTCACAGGGCCATTAAAAACAGATATACAAAACGATTTTGCGGGCCGGATATAATTGTATGGCGGGCCGGATGTGGCCCGCGGGCCTTGAGTTTGACACATGTGCACTAGCGATAGCCTTAAAGGGCAAAGCCTATACGAAATAGAACTGAAGCCTTTTTTTCCGGTTAGCCTCACTGATTAGTGGTTTTCTTAAGGCTACACAGCTGTTCAGTCTCAATTCCTGTCGTTCCCTTTGCCTTGTGCATGTGGAAATGCTCTTACTTTCACTATTAAACACAGCCCTGAGTGCTACTGTTGTTTTTCTTCAATTTGATTTCAACAAATGTTTAAGTGATCGCCGATCACGATCATTCAGGATTTTTTTCCGGCCACATTTCTTCCTCGAAGACGATGGATCCCCACTATCCTTCCAGTTTTTAATAATGCGTTGGACAGTTCTTAATCCAATTTTAATAGTTTCTGCAGCCACAAAATCAATTTAACGACTGTGATAAAAGTTGAAATAACACAACTGTATCTCAAGCTTTATATACCGTATTTTCCGGAGTATCAGTCGCAGTTTTTTTGCATAGATTTGTCAATCCTGCGACTTATATATATATATATATATTTTTTTTTCCATATCTATAACACAACTTTTTTTTGACTGACGCTTTAAATTTCTAAGAACTGCAACAGCGAGTCCTCCCGTTCGCTCGCTTCACTTAGCTGGTGTAGACGGAGGAATGCTGGAGAGCTAGCGGCTCCATCCGCGATGGATGGATGGATGGTGCTGCGCCACCCAGGCGAAATGAAGCTGTTTGACCATTAAATAAAAGCATCATGAACTTGATGGGTCAGCGGTGATACATAATAAATGTGACTTATATGCCGAAGCGACTTATATGTTTTTTTTTCTTCTTCATGATGCTTTTTTGACTGATGTGACTTGTACTCCGGAGTGACTTATACAATGGTTTTGGTTGTCAACAGCAAACTGGTTGATCCACTCTGACAAGGTGCTATTTATAAGACTCAGCTGAATACAGCACCTCAGACTGAGGAAGTATTTTGGATGAAAGACGAAACGTTTCTACATGTTTTTGTTGTTTTGCTTTGTTTTGTTTTTTGAATGTCCAGAGGACCAGATTTAACTTTTATTTGGATTTTTCTACCTGTATTATTGAGCATGCATCAGGATAAATGGAAAATACGGTAAATATTACATGTGTAGAAAATAGTTTGTTTCATTCTGAAAAGGACTGTTGATATTTATCAGCATGTTTTTAAATTGAATGACAAGGGCAAAGACTGAGATCTTATGGGGAAGGGAAAAATATTTTGTGTAAACCCTCTTAAATAAAATTTAAACACAGAAACATGGAGGCCTGTGGGAGTCCTTAATATATTTGTGGAAATATATCCTGATGCATGCTCAATAATATTTGTGGAAAGTAATAAGTCCTTCCTTCATTTATTTTAACTGGTTAAGTTTTTTATTAAAAACAAGTCTTTTTATGTTGTGTTTGTTCTCAGATTGCATATGTTTGTAGAACATCTGATTTAATAACTCTGCTCGTGAATGGTTTCTAAACCGCCCTTCGTAATTTAGAAAAACCACACTGTGCGGTTGGACATTAAACTAACAAAGCGGTAAACAGGATAACATCTGGATTAATTGATTTTAATTTAATATAATTTGGAAAGAGAAATTTTACTCACAGAGTGCAGAAATCTACCAAGCTTTCCTACTTGGGTTCTAAAAATATTAATTTCCTGTATTTTTGGCCAAAGCTGCAGGAACCAGATCCTCATGTGGCCCCAGAGCCAGAGGTTGCAGACCCTCAGTTTATTTTTCTCCCTCCTCTGTCTGCATTTGACGACTCTGATCTGCTCCCTCAGTGGCCCTTTGAGCTGGACACCTTCCAGAAGCAGGCGGTGCTGAGGCTGGAGGCTCACGACTCTGTGTTCGTCGCTGCGCACACGTCGGCCGGGAAAACGGTGGTGGCCGAGTACGCCATCGCGCTGTCACAGAAGCACATGACAAGGTGTGTGTCAGGATCAAGTAATCGCCGCCCGCCTCCGTTTGTGTTTCCAAACTAAACAAACTGAGCGAGACGCTTTAATCTACATATCTACTGTTATCAGTAAAAACAGCAAGATGGAGAAAATGCTCCGAAGCTTCAGATAATTTCCAGTTTAACTTTATTACAACCAGAGAAAACTCTCATTACTCTTAACATAAAACCAGGTGTTTTTTTTTAAAGCATTTATCAAGTAAAATCACAATAAAATCAGTTTATTTGCATTTTGTTTTTACATTTAGGTACTACAATTTGAGTACTTTACATGTCAGAATGTAATAAATATTTATTTATTCTTGTTATAACTGTTGGGATTTTGGTTGGACTTGTTAAAAGGTGCTTCCTGTCCTGTTTGGATGTTAAACTAAACCCCAGCAATCCTCCAAACTATGATTTGGGGTTTTTTTTATGTTAGCGTGGGTTTAAATGATCCACTGGATGGTGCTAGAGTAAACTATTTTCTACATTTTGATTTCTGCTTTAAAGACCGTAGATATAAATGACATTCGTTCAACATAAAATGGTTTTAATTCTTTTTTTTTCTTCTTTTTTTATTTAGTTTCTTTCATAAAATTGAATCCATTTTGTCCAAACTTCCTTTTATAAGAAAAAGCTATTTTCACCTTTTAGAGCAGGGCTATTCAACTGGTGGTCCACGGGCCACTTCCGGCCCGTGTGTGACTTCGGTCCTGCATGCCAATGAGGTCATAATTTTTATTTTTTATTTTTTTTTAGTTCTGGTTTGGGTTTTGGGTTCTGTTTATAGTGTGAATGCTTCGTAAGAATATTGAGATCCATTTTTCTTCCGTACTTTTTTTTAAACTTCTTTCTCATCCTGCAGTTTTCAAGCTATTTCAACCCTATCATAACTATTTTAAAATACATTTTAACCCTAATCCTAACCCTTCTTGAAATTTAAGCTTATTTCTGATTTTTTTTAGCTACTTTTCAGCTGTTTTCTTTTTTGCAAATGTCTCCTTTTTTCAGATAATTTCCACTTTTTTGTGCTCATTTCTGCTTCATTCAGCAAACATTTTCTTTCTGCTTTATTCTGTTAATTTAAGCTTGTCCTTTTCAGCTACCTTTTTTAAAAAAAATTAGCTAATTTTAGCTGTTTTAGATAAATTCAAGTTTTTCATGGTAATTTCTGCAACTTCCAGCCTACCAGTAATCACCGTTTCTCTGCTAATTTAAGCTTGTTGTGCTCCTTTCAGCTTATTTCTGCTAGTTTCAGCTTTTTCTGCTATTTCAGCTACTCCAAAATTTTTCAGTCAGGTCATCTGGACAGTTTTTTTTTTGTTTTTTTTTGTGCTGAAACGTTTTGCCTTCGGTCCGGAAGGCTTCATCAGTCAAGTAAACACACAACAAAACTGATTCTTCCCCCAACAGCTTACTCCAAAGTGGAACAAACCAGTTCTGCTGTCAACAAGGAAGAGGGCCGGCAATGGAGGAGGGGGCATACCAAAGAGACCAACTTATCACAAGCAGAACTGGTTTGTTCCACTTTGGAGTAAGCTGTTGGGGGAAGAATCAGTTTTGTTGTGTTTCCTTGACTGATGAAGCCTTCCGGACCAAAGGCGAAACGTTTCAGCACAAAAAAAGAAACTGTCCAGATGACCTGACTGAAAAATGTTGGATTGTATACCTGGATTATTGAGCATGGACTTTGTTATTTCAGCTACTGTTTAGCTGTTTTATGCTAATTCAGTATTTTTTAGCTAATTTGTTTTTTTTTAGCTTATTTCAGCTCTTTTTGCATCCTTCTAGTATATTAAGCTTCTTTATGCCTTTTCAGCTACTTTTCAGCTCATTTTTGCTAATTTCAGCCTTTTTTAAGCAAATTTCCTAATTTTTATGTAATTTCTTCTTATTTAAACCGAATTCAGCATAAATGTGTCTTTTCTGATTTCTTCTACTAACTTAGGCTTGTTCTTCCATTTCTGCTACATTTCAGCATTTTTTTGTTGTTGCTAATTTCAGCTGTTTTTCAGCAAGTTCTTCTGCAATAAGCATTCACACTGCATTTTCACAGGAAATGCAGTCTCTCTAGTTGCATTTATGATTCAATGCAACAAAATAAACAAATTTAAAAGGTAACAGATCGTTGTAATACTTGGTTTATTTACATAATGACTAACCGCTGGATGTTTGGCCCCTGTGCTGCTGGCTTTCAGTAACTGTGGCCCCCTGATCAGTTTAATTGAATAGTTCCCCCAACTTGAAGAATACACAAATATTCCTCACAACTGGTTATAAATATAACAAATATATATAAATATATGTTTGTTGAAATATTTTGACAGTCTGTGTTTTAATATGATGTCAGGTTTAAATAAAAAAAAAATGTAATACTTGATGCTTATTTATCTGCTTTCTTACTTCCTGCCGTAGCAGCGTAGAGTTTGATGAGATTCAGCTGATTTTTAAAGCGAATAAATAAATTTTAAAAACCTGGAGATCTTTCCCGAATCTTCTATTTGTCTGTAACACTCAACGAGTCAGTTCGACACACAACAGTGACTTTTTATAGATCGTAGATGAATAAAGTGAAGGAGCGACTCTGTTTTCTCATTTTCTGCTGTCTTGGCGACTGTAGGACCATCTACACATCTCCCATCAAGGCTCTGTCCAATCAGAAGTTCAGGGACTTTAAAGCCACCTTCGGGGACGTTGGACTCCTGACGGGGGACGTCCAGCTCAGTCCTGAGTCTTCTTGTCTCATCATGACCACGGAGATCCTCCGGTACGTTTTGTCCCCTCCGTGTTAAAGATGTCGGCAGGATGTTTGTAACGAATGTGAAACATCTCTTTGCTCTCAGGTCGATGCTCTACAACGGCTCAGAGGTCATCAGGGACCTGGAGTGGGTGATCTTCGATGAGGTCCACTACATCAACGACGCAGATGTCAGGCAGCCTTCCTGATTTTTATTTATTTATTTACTTGTTTCGTCGATGACATGGAGGAATATTATTTGTTACTCTGTATTTTCCTCAGAGGGGGGTCGTCTGGGAGGAGGTGTTGATTATGCTTCCCGACCACGTCAGCATCATTCTCCTGAGCGCCACCGTGCCCAACGCCTTGGAGTTCAGCGAGTGGATCGGGTAAGACCTCAGTGACGCTGAGTGTTAAACAAGTCAAGTTTATTTATAAAGCACATTTAAAACAGCAACTGTTACCAAGGTACTTAACAATAAGATCAAAGACAGTAATTAAAAATAACAAGATGTAATTAAATGCATCAAAAATGAAAACACATAAACAATGAGAAAACAATGAAATACTAAATGATATCAAACTGTTTTAAATGTGAGTAAAAACAGCATTGTTTTTAGGAGAGATTTAAAAACACGAAGTGAAGTGACCCTGTCTAATGTTGAGAGGCAGATTGTTCCAAAGTTTAGGGTCAATGGCTGAAAAAGCCTGATCTCCTCTGAGCTTCAACCTGGTTTTTGGTACAACCAAAAGCAGCTGGTCAGGTGATCTCAGCACCTGAGAAGAAACAAATGGTTGAAGTAGGTCAGAGACGAGGGTGCAAGGCCATTAATGCACTTAAAGAGTAATATGAGAATTTTAAAATAAATTCTGACATGCACAGGAAGCCAGTGAAGGGAGGAAAAAATTGAAGCCATCCATGCCTTGATGTCATCAAGACATTTTAACAGAGGGTGAATGGAGCAGGAACTGTTAGGAACTGTTGTTTCAAGGGCAAATAAATATGACAGTCATCAACATAACAATGAAACGAATGACCGTGTTTCCTCAGGATAGAGCCCAAAGGCAGCAGATAGAGTGAAAATAAAAGGGGTCCAAGAATCGAGCCCTGTGGGACCCCAAGAATCAAGCCTATATACGTATATATATATAGCCCCAACCTATAAGCAGCTGGTTTGCATTCTAAAACTCTCACGAGCATCGTGTTGTGCCCCAACAGTCGTATCAAGAAGAGGCACATTTACGTGATCAGCACCATGAAGAGGCCCGTCCCTTTGGAGCATCACCTGTACACCGGAAACAGCACCAAGACCCAGAAGGAGATGTTCCTGCTGGTGGACGCTGCAGGAAACTTCCTCACCAAAGGGTGCGGCTTTGACACAAGGCTCCACACCGACTGGTTGTTGCTCTTTGTATTTAAGGAACGTTGTTTTCCGGTTCAGGTACTACGCCGCAGTCGATGCCAAGAAGGAGCGCACCAGCAAACACGCTCAGTCATTCGGCGCTAAAAACACTTCTCAGAACACCTCGGCCAGTCAGGTAGTTCGCTGTTGTCGCCTCGCCGCCTCTTGGTTTTCGTGTTTTACCGCATGTCTCCCTCCAGGACCGAGCGGTGTGGCTCGCCCTCCTGCACTTCCTGTCCCAGCGGCAGCAGACCCCGGTGGTGGCGTTTACTTTCTCTCGGGCGCGGTGCGATGAGAACGCCCGCTCGCTGGACTCCATGGACCTCACCACCTCCATAGAGAAGGCCGAGATTCACTCGTTCTTCCAGAAGAGCCTCAGTCGCCTCCGAGGAGGAGACCGGCAGCTGCCACAGGTAAACAAACTGCTGAGCTTTGCTGAAATGTAAAAAGAAAAAACGTATCTTTCGCCGAGCAATACGCAGGCAAAATATTTATATTTATAGCTATTTTAGTCAAACCTTAAAAACAATTTTATACACAAACTCATGCATGGGCAGCGCAATGTATCAGTGGTTTGCACCGTTGCCTCACAGCAAAAAGGTTCTGGGTTCAATCCCCATGTTTGACCTGGGGACTTTCTGTGGAGTTTGCATGTTCTCCTTGTGTTTGTGTGGGTATTCCAGAATTGTGTTGACTCCAAAAGTTAATCAATTGTAAACGTACATCCAGTGATTGCTTCCTAAGAGTTTCATTGAACTCTGTCCAGTGGCTCACGAGATATTTTGCTAACAGACGTAATTTACCCAACCTGTTAATGTCCTAGGTTTTAGGCAAAGATATCGCACACAAATGAGCTCAGAGTATGTGTTGGGGGCGATGCTCAGCTACTTCCACTCCAAACTTTAGCTCATTATCCATAAAGTTGGTGGAGCTGCGGCCATTAACGTGTTTTTTATATTCAGCTGTCTGTGGCGGCCATCTTGAATTGAGCTGACTCCAAAAGTCGATCAGTTGTAGATGCACGTCCAGTCGTTACTTTCTGAAAGTTTCATTAATATCCATTCTCTGGCTTGTGAGATATTTTGCTAACAGACGGAGTTCACTCCCAAAAGGTAACAGCAAAGTTTCAAACTCATAACGCAACACAAGCTGGGATAACTCTCAGCTACTACCACGCCAAATTTAGATCAATATCTATAAAACTGACTGAGTTTCAGCTATTTTGTTTAAGCTCGATTAGCTGTGGTGGCCATCTTTAACAGAGCTAATCAGTTTTAGATGTACAACCACTGATGAGTTTTCTTCAGACATTGTCGCTCTTCAAGCAGTAAATATGAGACAGTGAGCCGGACGATGTACTAATCAGACCTGTCGGTTCAGATTCTGCTCATGCGGGACCTTCTGAAACGAGGCATCGCCGTTCATCACAGCGGGATCCTGCCCATCCTGAAGGAGGTCATCGAGATGCTTTTCTCCCGAGGTCTCGTGAAGGCGAGTCAGAGCGGAAGAACCGCCACCTTGGATTTAAATAAAACAACAACTTGTGTTAAAGCGTCTAAACCTCTCCTTTCCCAGGTGTTGTTCGCCACGGAAACGTTTGCGATGGGGGTGAACATGCCCGCCAGGACGGTGGTGTTTGACAACATCAGGAAGCACGACGGCACCGGCTTCAGAAACCTGTTGCCAGGTTTCCACATCCATCTCCCCGTTTTTCTTTAGTTCATCACAAACAATAGTTCTCTTTTGTTTTTTTAAACAGCATTTTTTTTGTGTGTTGCACTTTGTATTTCAAGGCGAATATATTCAGATGGCGGGCCGAGCGGGAAGGAGAGGTCTGGACGCCACCGGCACGGTCATCATTTTGTGTAAATCCGGCGTTCATGAGATGGCAGATCTGCACGCCATGATGATGGTGAGTCCTCCTAACGCCTGAATGAGTGAACCCGAGCGTTCGGCTTTTTTTTAACCTCCCCTGATCAATCGAGAGGAAACAGATCTCTGCTCATTAACTCTGCCTTTGATTTAAAATTTTTAACTTTTAATCGCTCCGGGGAGTAAACTGTTTCCGCTCAGGCTTTCTGTTTCAGTTTAGTTCCATCCCGATCGTCAACGTTAAATAATCCTCATTCTGTCCAGATTGTCATTCTCCCCGATTCGTTTTTATAACGTACAAGAAGAAAAGTCTCAAAAACAGGATTTACATATTCAGTGTGCCATAAGTTTTGTCTTGTTAATAAACTTTTACAAGCTAAAAACATATAAATAAAAACGTATGCGCACTTTTTACTTTTTGTAAATGAGCCCAGCAACACATTTATTTAAACTCCTGAACCGCAAACTAACGTCAGTTCAGGAGAGTTTTAACTCTTAGATGTGCAGAAAATTACACTCAAACTAGAAGAATCAGATTTTCTGTGAAAATGCTGAAAGAAGCCAAACACTAGCTAAAATGCTAGCATAAAGCTAAACAGACCAAACTGCTAGTTAGAAACTAAAAGTAGCATAATGCTAACTTAAATGTTAAAGTAACAAAATGCTTGCTAAAAGCTAAAATAGATCAGTTTTAGATTGAAGCTAACAATAGCAAAAGAATAAAAGAAGCAAAAGGCTAGCTAAATGTACAGAAGGCTAGCTAAAGGCTGAAAGTTGCAAAACGCTAACTTGAATCTTAAAGTAGCAAAATAGTCACTAAAAGCTAAAACAGATCAGTTTTAGATTGAAGCTAGCAGTAGCTAGCTACTTGCTAAAAGTACTTGCTAAAATGTACTTGCTAAAAGCTATAATAGATCAGTTTTAAATTGAAGCTAACAGTAGCAAAAGGTTAGCTAGAAGACAAAAGTAGCAAAAGACTAGCTAAATGCAGCAGAAGGCTAGCTAAAGATTAAAAGTAGCAAAATGCTAACTTGAATCTTAACGTAGCAAATACTTACTAAAAACTAAAATATCAGATATAAATTGAAGCTAAAGTAGCAAAAGGTTAGCTAGAGGATAAAGGTAGCAGAAGGCTAGCTAAAGACAAAGTATCAAAAGGCTGATTAAAAGCTTAAAGTAGTCAAATGCTAGCTAGGAACTCAAAGTATAAAAATGTCAGCTTAAAGCTAACAGTAGCAAAAGATTAGCTAAAAGCTAAACACAGCAAAAAACTGTCTCAGAGTAACAAAAGGATAGAAAAATACTACCTAAACAAAGTAGAGCAAAACGGTAAAAGCTGAAAGGAGCTAAATTTTAGCTTGAATCAAAAAGTAACATACTGGCTAAAAGCTAAAAGTAGCTAAAAGCCAAAGGTACAAAAAGTGAAATGATGTTTTTAAAGGAATTGAAGAGCGCTTCATGTATTTCTATGGCGGAAATATTTGTAACTAAAGTGAGATTTTGAAAAGTATAAATGTTAAATTCATTCAACCTTTATTTAGACAGGTAAATCCCACTAAGTCTCGAGGTCTCATTTACAAGAGAGACCTGATAAATAAAGTAAAAACCAGAGCACGCATCTCTGGAATGAGCTGAATGTTTAAATATCAAAGTGGCTAAAATAGTACAAAGTAGTCAGAGTGCTAAAAGCATACAGAAAACTAAAAACAGTAAAACAAAGCTGTGAAATGATTGTGAGTCTGTGTCCTCGTCCTTCATCACATCACTGAAACTCAGACTTGTTCAGCTTCTCTGCATCAACCAAAATAAAAAACACTCATTTTTTTCCCAGAACACAGAATAAATCAGAATAAATCAGTGTCTTGCTAGAGTTTTGTCTTTGTGTGGCTCAGGGCAAACCGACCGTCCTCCAGTCCCAGTTCAGGCTGACCTACACCATGATCCTGAACCTGCTGCGGGTCGAAGCGCTCAGAGTGACCGACATGATGAGGAGGAGCTTCTCAGAGAGCCACAGAGACACTCAGGTAACGGAGCATGCTCTGCCATTAACAAAGAATCTTTACAAAAAGAAGATACTGAACTCAAATGTCTCTGCAGGCACAAGAGAAGAGGATCAGCCAGCTGAAGCAGACGCTGGCATCTCTTCCTGCTCTGGACACCGAGGGCCAGCTGTCGGACATTTTACCATATTACCTCACCGTGACCGAGCTGAGGAACACCACAGAGGCCCTCCAGGTCCCCTCGCACTCAAGCACTCAAAAGAATCCTGTTTTACTTGCTTATGATAGGCCGAACCTTATAAATTAATCGTTTTTACTAGCACGCCTACTTGCTTCTTTTTAATTTTTTTTATACGTTTTCCTCCTGCTGTTTTGATTTCAGCGAGCCATCCTGGAGTCTGTGAACGGACTGAAAGCTCTGTCTGTTGGTCGAGTCGTCGTCGTCAACAACAAGCAGCACCTGAACGCGCTGGGAGTTATCCTGCAGGTACGTTTTGGTCCCGCGGCTCATTTTCAACCCGTCAGGTTAGATTCTCCCAGCATGTCGTTCAAGTCGCTGGTCCTTCTGTTTGGTTGCTAAATGTTTTCCACTGACCTGAACGTGTGATTTGTTTTAGAGTTTATTTATTTGGGGAAGAGTCTTTAAACTTGGGAGCTTCATTCTGGTGCTGAGGGACCTGTTTATGTGGACTTGAGTTATTTGTAAGCACCTACGGGAGCCTTGAAGTAAATCTTTAGCCAGTGCCCTGCCACACTGAATTTGTCGATCGTGTAAACAAGAAGCGCAGTCAAGGTGGCGCCAAAGACTCAGCTGACAAAGATGACTACGAGGATGACCATGAGCAGAAGAAGTAAGCCAACAAAGATGCTGGTTTTAATGAGATATTTTGTTCAGAGATCTCATCAACATTTAGATAGTTTATGATTTTGGTGTCACGAGGACACAAAAGTTGCACCAAATTCCTGGTGTTGCAAAACATTATCGCCTCCTGGTGGACAGAAGTGAAACTGCATTCCCACGAGCTGAACGCTGTAGAGCAGCTGAACTAAAACAACAATGTAATGAGGGCGTTGCTTCGGTCGATCGTGGTGACGAAAGAGTTGAGTCAAAAGGTAAAGCTCTGGGTTTTCTAATCTGTCTACGTTCTAACCCTCGCCTGTGGTCTTGAGGTTTGGATTGTGACTAAAAGAACCAGATCCTGGATGCAAGCGGCTGAAATGAGCTTCCTTCGAAAGGCGGCCGGGCTCAGCCTTAGAGATGGAGAAGGAGATCCAGGGGGAGCTCGGAGTAGAGCCGCTGCTCCTCTGCATCAAAACGGGTCAGTTGAGGGGGTTCATCTGATTAGGATGCTTCCCTTTGGAGGATTTCTGGGCACGCCCCACTGGTTACAAGACCTCAGGGCAGACTTAGAATTCAATGGCCTGGGAACACTTCAGGGTCCCCTAGTAGGAGCTGGAAACCCGACCACAGATGAATGGTATAAGATGGAGGTCCCAGCAGCTTTGTGCGTGCTGACAGACACCATGTTGAAGCCTTAAACGAGCGAAGCAGCAACAATAAAGCAGCCAAACATGAAAGATGTGAACAGTTTCCTCGGTCTCGATAAGTAAAACATCCAGACTTCTGGATTAGTCACAGCTGCAGACGGTTTATCACCTAAAAACTTCTGCTTGAGACACAGATCAACCCGTGCACCTTGTCTCCAGGTGTCCAGCGACGCAGTGAATCGCACCTTTACAGCCCTGGTTATCTGTGAGAAAGGTAACGAGGAGGGAGACGGAAAAGGAAACGACACCGCGGCTTTCGTGCACCTCCAAAACACGGCTCTGTTCATCCCTGAAGGCAGGTCCATCTGGTTCTGGTCACTCATTGTGTGAATGTTTATGAAGCATTCACTCTGTTGTAATCCAGTTCTCTTCCTGATGTTTTTCAGCATTTTTCTCGTTCCACATTTTTTGTGCTATTTCAACAATTCATAAATCAAAACATTCAGCTCGTTAAGGAGAAGGGTGCTGTGACTTTTGGTATTGCTGCAACTTTAGCTTTTTGAAATATTTAGCCTTTTCTGCCATTTTTTTCCTTATAGAAAATGAATTGAGCTCATTTTACATCCTTCAAATCTTTAGATCTGTTTACAACCTTTTACTTTTCCTTTCACATTTTGTTCTGGTTCAGCTTCTTTCAGCATCCTTGTGCAAATTTCAACATTTTTTCAGTTACTTTCAGCTGTTTAGTGCTCCTTTCAGATTCTTTATGCTAACTACAACATTTGTGAGCTTCTTCTAACTTCTTTCCACTTAATTTCAACTTGTTATGCTTCTTTCAGCTTATTTCTGCAAGTTTCAGCTTTTCTGCTATTTCAGCTATTATTTACCAGTAGCTGTTTTTATGCTAATTTTAGCTTTTTCAGCTAATTCCAGATTCATTTAAACGTTTTTCAGTCTACTTTAACAAAAATGTGCTCTCTTCACTTTCTTCTGGTAATTTATGCTTTTTTTCTGCTGTTTTAGCTACTTTTCAGTTGTTTTTTGCTCATTTCAGCTTTTTTCAGATAATTTCCACTTTTTTGTGCTCATTTCTGCTTCTTTCAGCCTAATTGGGCAAACATATCTTCTTTCTGCTTTCTTATGCTAATTTCAGCTTGTTCTACATTTTCAGCTACCTTTTAAACATTATTTTTTGCAAATTTCAGCTCTTTTTAAATAAATTCAAGTTTTTCATGGCAATTTTTGCTACTTTCAACCTAATTAATTTCTTTATGGTAATTTCAGCTTGTTGTGCTCTTTTCAGCTTATTTCTGATAGTTTAAGCTTCTTTCTGTTGTTGTAGCTACTTTTCAGCTGTTTTTAGCTAATGTCAGCTTTTTTTTTTTCCCAGATAATTTCCACTTTTTTGTGCTAATTTCTGCTTCTTTCAGCCTAATTGGACAAACATGACTTCTTTCTGCTTTATTCTGCTAATTTAAGATTGTTCTTCCTTTTCAGTTACCTTTTTAGCATTTTTTTTTTGCTAATTTCAGCTGTTTTCAGATCAATTCAAGTTTTTAATGTAAATTTCTGCTTCTTTCAGCCTACCAGTAATTAACTTCTTTATGCTAATTTCAGCTTGTTATGCTCCTTTCAGCTTTTTCTGCTCTTTCAGCTACTATTTAGCTCTTTTAAAGTTATTCTTAGCTTTTTCAGCTAATTCCATGGGTTTTTTTTAGCTCATTCCAGTTATTGCTACTTCTTTTTGGAAGTTTAAGCTTCTTTTTGTCTTTTCAGCTAGTACTTTTCAGCTATTATTGGCTAATTTCAGCCTTTTTTTAGCCAAGTTCCTCATTTTTGTGCTAATTTCTGCTTATTTAAACTTAATTCAGCAAATATGTGTTATTTCTGCTTTCTTCTGTTACTTTAGGATAGTTATTCATTTCAGCTACATTTCAGAATGTTTTATAGCTACTTTCAGCTGTTTTTCAGCAAGTTCTTCTGCAATAAGCATTCACAATGCAATTTTTCTAGTTGATTTTGGTTTTACGTCCATGCTCATTTTAATCCAAGTAAAACACCTGCAGAGTAGTTTATTCTCCTGATTCTCTTCTTGTTTGTGTCAGGTTCATGCAGCCACACGGTGCAGAAACTGAAACTTCAGGATATCTCAGCCATCACGGTGAAAACCCTCAAAGTGATTCCTGACAGGATCATCGATAACTACAACAAGAGGCAGCAGCCGCGGTTCAGGTGCCGTCAATTTTAATCACCTCCCAACTGTTTTCAAGCCCAGGGATCGTTTCTGAACCAGCAGCTTTAGTTTCTTACACAACGTTGCTTTTATTTCTTGTTTTTTTTTACAATTTAACCGAGCAGCTGAAGTTTCTAGTCTTCAGTTTGATCTTTTTCATTCTCGATCACATTATAACAACCTGCTGAGAACTTTTTATTTCTCCTGCTTTTTAAGTGTTAATTATTAAAAGGTTCAGATTACCTGAAGGATCTTACCTCTGGAAATTGTTGGCACAGCATTTAGAAAGCTATAAATTTTACACTATTTGTCATTTTTTTTTAACAAAAAACTGCCCCAATCGTGAAGCTAATGCTCTTAATTAGGCCCAAAAACAGTCCCTTTTTTCTTCCTCTGCATCACTTATTTAAATGACCCTTCATGGGTTTCTAGTTGTCGCAACACTATGGGGCAAAACTTCAGTCTGTTAATTGAGTCTTTGTTTTGTTTAAGTCATAAACTTTTCAGCTTCCAACCCACAAAATGACAATCACAGATCTATGACTTCCACTATAGTTTGCTGAAACTTGCTAACCATTCTAAAAATAAAAAAAATCTGCATCATCAACTGTTCCACTGCTTTTTTTAAATCCTTTGTAACAGTTGTGACAAAAGTATATTAATAATTATTGTAAAATTGAAATCCGTATTCCTGCTTACTTATGGAACGACGTCCAGTAATTATCGTAATTTCCGGACTACCGAGCGCACCCAAATATAAGCCACGCCCACTAAATTTCAAAGGAAATAATAATTTTATGCACATATAGGCCACGCTCATGTATAAGCTGTAGGTGTCCATGTTGCAATACGAGACATTTACACAGGAAGATTTTTTAAACTTTTTATTAAATACTTATCAGTAACATACACAAATATGCACAGTACTTGTAAATGTTTTTTTTTTGTTGTTTTTTTTCAGAACAGTGGCTGTTACAGGGCTGGTTAAAAATAAAATAAAAAATACAGTAGTTACGAAGACCCACCCCCCAAGAGGGACAAGTACTGGGCAGCTATGTGAGCGTCCGGGTGTGACGAGGCTAAATGTTTTGGCAGCATGAAGCTCGTTAACCTGTCAGAAAAAAAAAATCCATAAATTAGCCGCAGCATGGTTTAAGCCGCGGGGTTCAAAGCTTATGAAAAAAGAAGTGGCTTATAGCCCGGAAATTACAATACTTTCCGAGAGTTTAATTAAAATCTGTCATTTTGTCCATTAGATATTTAGCTAACACTACAGGCAAACACACAGACACAAGCAAAACTATTATCCCCCTTCACTTCCAGACGAAACCAGAAAACCAACGATGTTACATGTTTTGATCTTGGGATGAGTCAAGCTGTCTGTCTGAGCAAAACGTCTTTTGTTCTCGTTTAGGAATGACCCCCCAGGCCAGGCCATTTCCACAGCGACGCAGGAGCTCCTTCGATTGGCCGAGGCGAACCCAGGCGGCGTGGCGACCCTCGACCCCGTGAACGACCTCCAGCTGAAGAGCGTCGACGTGGTGGAGGGATGTATGAGGCTCCGAGCGCTGCAGGAGAGCCTGAGGGCTTTCAGCTGCATCCACTCGCCCACATTCGCCGAGCAGGTGTGTGGTGGTGTTGGTGGTGGGCGGGGGGGGGGGGGGGGGATCTATTTAATAATGAGAGAGTCGAGTTCTGGGAGATGCTACAACAACAAGCTTCAGTTCCAGTGTTTGTTTATAAATGCATCAAATTAAATTCCTTTTGTGCTCCGGTTGAATATTTAAACAGTTGATTAACATCAAAGCCGAACAAAAAGACACTTATTTTTCAATGTGCCTGTTTTCTTTCACCACTCCATCAATTCTGAGGACATTTTGTTCTCTCTCATTCACTCTCTATATCCATCCATCCATCCACATATATATATATATATATATATATATATATATATATATATACACCTTTCCCACACTTTTGCAATATTGTAAACAATGTTTCTAAACTCTAAACGTTCTAAAAGAGCACAGAATGTCATGATTTCACCTCCCTGCCTCCACTGCTCTTTGCCACCTGCAAGCGCTCTTGGCCACGCCCACTTTTTTGTTCTGCACTGTGAACAGCTGATCATCTGCAGCAGGAAGTTTATCCTGCAGCTCTGGGCTGCACAAATATGCAGCAGGTGCTAAATAATTGAAAAAAAAAGAAGAATATATATATATATATAGATATAGACAGACAGACAGACAGACAGATAGACAGATAGTCAAGATCTACTTGTTTCTATTTTTTATCATAATTTTGATGTTCTGCCTTATCAGACCGTGTGTGTGTGTGTGCCGTGTGTGTGTGTCAGTTTGCTCGTATTAAAGACAGGATGGGTGTTCAGGAGGAGTTGGACCGGCTGCTGTTCCTTGTGTCGGATCAGTCTCTGACTCTGCTGCCTGAGTACCACCAGAGGATCAAGGTTTGGACCTTCACCTCTTTAAAAGTGACAAAATAATAACTAAAAGCCATAAGTTTTAAAAATCCTACTTGTAAGTACTATGAGCAAATGTTATTTACGGTATCTAAAAGCTAATTGTAGGAAAAGGCTAGATACAAATTTAAAAGAAGTGAACAGCTTGCTAAAAGAAATAAATACCAAAATGCTATTAAAAAGCTAAAAGAATCAAAACAAGTTAAAAGTATCAAAGGCTAGCTGAAAACAAAATGGAGCAAATGGCTAGCCAAGACTTAAATGTTGTAAAAGGCTAGCTAAAAATCTTAAAGTAGCAAAATGCTAGCTAAAGACTAAAAGTAGCTAAAAGTATAAAAGGCCAGCTGAAATCTACTAAATAAAATAACTAGCTGAAAGTATCAAAATGCAAGCTAAAAGTAGAAAAATCTAGCTAAAACCTAAAAGTAGATAAAGGCTAGCTAAAAGCTAAAAGTTACAATACGCATGTTAAAACATCAAAGGCTAGTTAAAACTTAGAAGCCAGCTAAAAATCTAAAAGTGGTAAATTACTAACTAAAGACTAAAAGTAGCTAAAAGCTAGCTAAAATTAAAAAAAGGCTAGCTAAATTCTACAAGTAACAAAATACTAGCTGACAGTATCAAAATGCTAGCTACAACTATAACAGGCTAGCTAAAACCTAAAAGTAGCCAAATGCTAGCCAAAAGTAGCTAAATTGAAGCCTAAAGTAGCTAAATGCTAAGTAAATGTAGCAAAAAGCTAACAAGCTAGTTAGTTTAAAAGGAATGTGTTTCTCTGAGGAAAATATTTTTTAATACAAGTATATATTGTTAAACATGAAGTAAATGTTTTTAAAAGTGTAAAAGTTTCAAAAAACAAAAGTCACAGCACCCATCTCCTGAACAAGCTGAACATTTTGGTTTTCAAAGAGCTAAAATAGTACAAAGTATGCAGAAGCAGTTAAACTGCAAAAGGTCAAAATCAGTGAAACAACAGTGTGAAGAGAAATAGAAGTGAAGATATTTCATTTCGGACAAAAATCATCAAACGATCCATGTTTGTGTCTTTGCATCTTGCTAACGTGGCTAAAACTAGACCCAAACAACTAAATCCTAAAGTTTGACACAAAGATTAAAACGTCTTTGTCTCATTTTATGGTTATTAATGAGGTGTTTGTTCTCAGGACGCTCAGTCCCGTGAACGTTCTGCTCGTCTTAGAGTCTTACTCCCTCCCCCTCGTCCCTCAGGTGCTCCGGTCGCTCCAGTACGTGGACGGCGGCGGCGCCGTGCAGCTGAAGGGCCGGGTGGCCTGTCAGATCAGCAGCCACGAGCTGCTGCTGACCGAGCTGCTGTTCGAGAACGTCCTGAGCCCGCTGGCGCCCGAAGAGAGCGCCGCCCTGCTGTCCTGCCTGGTCTTCGCCCAGAACACGCAGGTGGAGCCGCACCTCACCAGCACGCTGAAGGAGGTGAGGAGAACCCAGAACCCGCCTGCCGATCCGGTCGTCTGACGTGGCGCACGCTCACTTCTTTCTGCTCGCAGGGCATCGATCGGGTTCTGTCGGTGGCCAAGAGGATTGGAGAGCTGCAGCGGGAGTGTGGGTTACCTCAGACGGCCGAAGAGTTTGTGGGCCAGCTGAAGTTCGGCCTGACTGAGGTGGTGTACTGCTGGGCCAGAGGCATGGTAAGAACTCTGACCCGGGTCGCACTTTGGGTCCAAACTGCTTCTGGTAAAGCAGGAATATGTAGCGCAAACATCGTTCAGCTCGGTCAAGGTCTCAGAATATTCAGGAGGTGAGAACATGTTAAAGTGGTAGTTCAGATTTTTTTTAAAGTGTGGTTTTACAGTTAATATCTTACCTGTTGTAGATGGCTCTTTGATTACATCCATTTGGAGAAATCAAGTTTAATTCGGACTGGATTAACGAGCGTTCCTGACTAGCTGTTAGCCCATCAGTCCAGTAAGAATAAACTTTACTTCAAACTGAAGAGGTTTAAAGAGTTATCTACAACAGGTAAGATATTAATTGTGCCCAAACCTTTCACAGAACCACACTCCTTTAAAGGAATCAATTTTATAAAGTCTGCACAATTTTTAACACATCCCTCTTAAAACCTTTAGAGAAAAACCTAAAGAAAGAGTTACTCAAAAGTTGTTTTTTTTCCATCTCTTAAATGAACTTTATTATTTTTCACTTTTTACAAAAACAAACAAAATAATAAATATTTAGTTCCAAAAATAAGATTAATATGTTTTATGAGTATACATTGACATTTTTAATGCATTTCCTGCTAAACTGAAGTGTGAGTTGTTTCAGGTAAAATAAGCAGAAAACTAGCTAAAAGGAGCAAAAGGTTTGCTAAAAATTGACGTTGAAAAATGTAGCTTAAGCTAAAGGTTAGCTAAATGCTAAAATTAACAAAGTGCTAAATAAAGCAGCAAAGTGTTAGCTAAAAGCCAAAAGTAACAAAAGGTTTGCTAAGAAAACCAAAATGCTAAAATTAAAATGAACTAAAGTTAGCTAATAGTAGCATAAGAAGCTAAAAGATGCAGAACACTCAATAAAAATTAAAGTACTAAAAGGATAGCTAAAAGAAGCAAAATTGTAGCTTTAAGGTATAAGTAGCAAAGGGGTAACTAAAAGTAGCAAAAGCTAGCTATAAGCTTAAAGTAGCAAAACATTAGCCAGAAGCTAAAAGCAAAAAGTAAGAAAATGCTAGCCAAGTGTAGCATAAGGGTAGCTAAAAGTTTGCTAATAGCAGCTAAAGTTTGTTAAAAGTAGCTAAGGCTAAAAGTAGAAAAAGGCTAGCTTAAAGCTAAAATAGCTAATGCCTAATTAAAAGCTGGAACTAGCAAAATGATAGCTAAAACTAAATGTAGCATAGGAGGATAAAAACAGAGCCAGTAATCTGAAGTCATTTCAAAGAGATTACGGTAATGTTTTTAAAGAGGTCAGTGTATTCTATGGTAAAATATTTGAAAATAATTTAAAATATTTCTTTTTATATATATATATATATATATATATATATATATATATATATATATATATATATACTAAAGCCACAGCACCTGTCTCCTGAATGATCTGAATGTTTCTGATGTAAGAATGAATAAAATGGCAAAGTGTGCAGAAACTGATTCTAAAAACATACAGACAAAAAAAACCGGTGTGAGTATTGACCCGGAGAGTTTTATAAAAACTCCCAATTCTACTGTATGAAAACAATGTTTACTGTGTGGACAGATTGTTTTGTTTTTTAGGAAACATAAAATATTGTCATGGGTTTCACATGAACCCGTCTCCTCTTGTCCCAGCCGTTTGCTGAGATCGCCCAGCTCACAGACGTCCAGGAGGGGACGGTGGTCCGCTGCATCCAGCGGCTGGACGAGGTGCTGAAGGAGGTGCGACAGGCCGCCCGCATCGTGGGAGACTCTGTCCTGGGGAGTAAGATGGAGCGGGCCTCGCTGGCCATCCGCAGGGACATCGTCTTCACCGCCTCCCTCTACACCCACTGAGAGGTTCACACCGTGAGGACGTGAAGACATGTGGACATGTTTAGATCTTCTGGTGCCTAAAGTCACGTTTACGTCTTGATTTTAACTAACAGACCAAAGTACGGACTGTGAGGACATTTACTGTAAATTTTTGCACATTAATAAAATCTGTTCTGCTGCAGGAAATACACACGTACACAGTTTTTTTTTTTTATTCAACCTTTATTTATACAGATAAATCACACTGAGCCTCGAGGACTCATTTACATGTGAGACCTGTTTAGACTAACAAAAATAATGAAAGTGACACGTGTACAGGATTTGGAGGCCCAAAAAATTATCCTAACATGCTCTTATTCCATGGCCGAGAAAAGAAAGCCTGAAATTGACAAAAACACCCCGCACATAGGCACATATTGATGCAGACATTTCACAGGGGAGGGGAGACGACAAGGGCGGTGAGCGTGTCCAAGGACACTCCAAAGGCTCTTTAGGAGTTCTGATAAGAATGGTATAATCAATCAGTTCCCTCTGGTGAAATCCGTAAACACTTTCGAGGGAGCCGAGGTCGACCTAGAACAGCGCCAGAGAGAATTCAAGAGTCCTGAAATCATGACACAATGTTTATTCAGCCGGGTCCCTCTGATAGGTCCGCAGACTTCCTTGGTGGGAGAGGGGACGGGGCAGAGCGTCGATTTACTAGGCCTCCAGGCGAATTGAGATAAGGTGGCCTGTCAAGACCAGCCAACGAGTCGAATTCAGATAAACGTTTGTTTTGGGGACAGTCAGAACTTTACTGATTTATGTCTGCCTTGAGTCTTTGCTGGTCCTCTCAGAGATCCCAAAACGTCCAAATTAAGTGGACACACCGCTGATCCGTGCCTGAGAGTACTCCCCGAGATCTGAGCCATCCTGCCAGCGAATCGCAAGTGGCCTGCGATTCTCACAAATCGCATCCAATTTGCGGTTCAGTTCACAAAGCAATCGAGTCTTGACAGTTTGTCAAACGTTCCGCTTTCTGTGTCTCGTTTGTTGGAAGGTTCATGGTGGGCACTGACTGTGCAAATATATGAACTGTTTTGGATGAGAACCCATGTTTCTGCTCTGGTGGGGATGAAGACGCAGATTTATGACAGAACAACAGCCTCAGTGGGATTCTTCTTCACCGCATGGTTCACGTTCTGTCTTCAGCTTCTGACTCTTGCTCCCCTACAACACCTTTCATCACAAGTTCCTGGCCTTGCTCCTCGTCATCAGAGTCATGATCACAGATTTGATCGGGGCCTGCAGAACAATCTTTGATTAAGGCCTCAAATGAGTCTTTATGCACCAGAACTGTGAGAAATGATCAAATTATTGTGGGAATGCCAACAGGTGTCTTTCCCGTGGGGAAAAGATGCTGTTAAAGATTTTCATAAGGGGAATATGTTATTTTTGTTAGGAAAATATTCTTTATCTGTCTATCTTTATTTATTTATGAAATGATTCCTGATTTGTTGCAGCATGAAGGCGTTAAGACTCCCTATTGTTATAATGTAAATGTCACTTTAAGAAAAGGGAAGCTTTCTTTTCAGGGTTGCCAGATATATAAAAAATTTTGATGGATGGATAGGATTCCTTAACAAGCTTCCTTAACTTCTACTGTTTTATAATGTACTGTATATGAATGACTGTTCAGTGCCCTGAGGTGACTTCTGTTGTGACGTGGCGCTATAGAAATAAACTGAATTGAGCTGATCGGAGCAGACCTGAATGGACATGTTGGTGAAGAAAATGGTGGAGATGAGGAAGTGATGGGTTTGGTGTCAAGGAAAGAAACCAGGAAGGACAGATGGTGGATTTTGCCAAGAGAATGAAAATGGCTTTAGTCAACATTTACTTCCAAAAGAGGGAGGAACACCGAGTGGAGGAAGGAGTATGCAGGTCGACTACATTTAGTGTAGAAGAGGAAACCTGAGGGAGATTGGAGACCGTAAGGGGAGCGCGTGGCCAGACAGCATCGGATGGTTGTGTGTAGCATGACTGTTGCTGTGAAGACGAGAAAAATCAGAGAAGAAGAGCAAATGGTGGAAGTTGAGAATGTTATGAGTTCAGAGAGGAGCTGTTAAAGGCTCTGGGTGCTAAAATGACTGGGCTATTACAGCAACTGTAATTAGAGTGACTGGTGCTTGTTGTGTCATCTGGGCAGAGAATGGTTGATAAGGAAACCTGGTGGTGGAATAGTGAAGTGCAGGAAGCTATTCAGAAAAATGGAGTGGATGGAGAAAAGTTTCAGGAGTGATTTGCAACAAAAGGGTGTTGTCAAAGGAAACAGTTTACAAGACAATGGTGAGACCAGCTATGTTGTATGGTCTGGAGACAGTGGCACTGACAAAAAGACGGGAGGAAGAACTGGAAGTGGCAGATAAGATTAGAACTTAGATCATCAGAGGTACAGCACAGGTTGAACAAATGAGATTAAATTAGAGAGGCCAGACTGAGATGGTTTGGACATGTCCAGTGGAGGGACAGTGGGTATATTGGTAGAAGGATGTTAGAAATACAGCTGATATGATCTTTTTAAAGCGGCCGTACGATTTTTCGTGATTTCCTATCTGGCAACCCGGTCTCTGTGTCATTTAATGCAGCGACGTGTCGGCGGATGAAAAGCTCATTAAAGAGAAGCGAGAAGACCGAGCTGGACCCAAACACCGAACACCTCCGGGTTTTTATTTTTATGTTTTATTCATCCTGTTATCGTTTGAATATTTAAGCGGGTCTTTTTAAAATGAGGACGTCCTGATGATGGATTATTTGGAGTAAAGAGTCCGAATCATCGAGAGGCTTTTCAGCAGCAGCTGGAGTGAAACAAAACCGTCCGAGAAGGAAGATCCAGCGGCATGTCGTCAGAAAAACACGGTGAGGCGCTTTCCTTTGTCACCTCCATCCATCATCCATCCATCATCCATCCCTGCGCCTCTGTAGGTGCAGCACTGAGATGAGGTGAGGTGGGAGGGAGGGCGGCAATCTCCGCAGGGCCTCCAGATTATCTCCAATAACCGATCGATAAAAGTACCTCGATCTGACCAGAAGATTAATTCACCCCGAGAAAATGATTTCATTCAGTTCAAACCTGGATTCAGCTGAAAACTCGTCAAAACCCCAGTTTTCTCCTCATTTTCACAGTAACGCACGAGCCCACGTACCACCGGACCCTTTGATGTCTGCGCGTGCAGTCCCTTGCAGGTGCGTTCAATAATTCAAACAGATGAAAGAATAAACCCGCTCAGGTTTCCAGAGTCAGGTGTCTGCAGCTCTGCCGTGACTAAATTCAGTCAAGACAGTTTTGACGAGATCATCTGCAGAATCCAAAAAAAAATATTAATTTATTGAATTACAATTTAAAAAAAAAAAGTTTAGCTGATGTTATGGCTCTTTTTGTTCAAATTAGACTTTAAAGGTGTAAAAATGTTCCTGATGAACATTGATCTCAATGGGATTCACCTAGTTAAATAAAGGTTAATAAATAAATACAATTGGTAAATTAATCTGTGATATCTGTAACCTGTAATCCAAATGCTTCCGTTTTTAATCGGAGCAAAAGAAAATCTGATGTTTTGACCCCAAATTAAGTCGAGGTTTAGTGAAAAAATCCTTCTTTATTCTGAAAGTGTGATGCTTGAAGAAAGCTGAATGACTGGTGAAATCTGCTGAATGACTGGTGAAATCTGCTG